TGACTTTGGCGCGCTTTTACCATAGCACATGCGCGGTTTACTTGTTTACTTGGAGGAGCACCGGATGCCAGCACCATCTTGCAATGGCGAATTCTGTCAGCACAAGCCTCGGCTTCCTACATATTATCTCTACCATGATATTTTTGTTTTAAAAGTCGATAATTGAATAAATATGTCTGCTAAAGAAAATTTGAAATTTACTCTGAGGCTCAGTAGCTTAAGAATGTCTGTTCTAACTGTATAGGCGTTCCCTGAGATACAGACTTTGGATGTGGTTAATTCTGGTGTGTAGTGATATTTATTTTTATATTCCATTTACCTCTATGTATTCTTCTTTCATTCATCACATTCTGACTGAGTTTACTCTCCTTCCTCTTTTCCCAGGACCCTTTCCCCACCTCCCCTCTCTCTGAAATCTACTTTTCCTTCAGTTTCCTCAGAAAAGGTCAGGCCTACCTCAGATATCAAGTTACAATAAGACTAGGCACTTCTCCTTATACTAACGCTGGGCAAGGCAAGCCAGTATGAGGAAAATGATCCAAAAATCAGGAAAAAAAGTCAGAGACAGCCTTCTCACACAGGGTTAGAAGTTCCACAAGAATACCAAGCTATAAAACAATAACTTGTATGGAGATGTGTTAGGTCATGCCTGTACATGCTCCATGATTGTTGGTTCCGACTCTGTGAACCCCTGTAAGACCTGAGTAATTGATTCTGTGAGTTTTCTTCTGGGGACCTTCACCTTCCTGGATCATACAATCATTCCTCACTCTTTTCCACCAGATCTACCAAGATTTGCATAATGTTTGATTGTGGGCCTCTGCATCTGTTTCCATCAGTTGCTGACTGGGGCCTCTCTGATGACGATAATGCTAGGCTCCTGTCTGCAAGTACAGCAGAGCATCATTAGAAGTCTCAGGGGTGGACTCCCTCTCATGCAATGGGTCTCAAGCTGGTCCAGACATGGGTTGTCCACTCCCTCAATTTCTGCTCCATCTTTCCCCCAGCATATCTTGTAGGCAAAACAAATTGTATACCAAAGGCTTTGTGGCTGAGATGGTATCCCAATCTCTCCATTAGAAGTCTTGGTTGGCTACAGGAGATGTTCTAGAACTTTCAAGTGCGCTTTGGAATCACTAATATGAAATCTCTTCAGTTTCTTTATGAAGGCACTTAGTGCTATGACCTTTCCTCTTAGCACCACTTTCTTTGACGCCCAGAAGTGTGTGAATGTTGTGCATTCATTTTCATTGAGTTCTAAAAACTCAATGAAGTAAATTTCTTTATTTTTGCCTCGATCCAGTGTTCATTCTATAGAGAGTTGTTCAGTTTTCTTGAATTTTTAGGCTTTCTGTTGTTTCTGTTTTTGTTAAAAACTGGCTTTAGTCTATGGTGGTCTGATAGGACAAAGGGTGTAACTTCATTTTTCTTGTATCTGTTGAGATTTTCTATGTGACTTAGTATGTGGACACTTTTGGTTCCATAAATTGCCGAGAAGAAGGTATGTTCACTTTTGTTTGGGTGAAATGTTCTGTAATTATTTGTTAGGTCCATTGAGTTCATAACATCTGTCACCTCCATAATTCCTCTGTATAGTTTAGAACTGTCCATTGGTGAGACTGGAGTGTTGAAGTCTCCCACTATTAACACGTGAGGTTCATTTTGCGATTTAAGCTTTAGTCGTGTTTCTTTTCCAAATGTGTGCGCCTTTGCATTTGGAGCATGGATGGTAAGGATCGAAATGCCAACATCTGTTAGCCTGTGTCTTCTTATTGGAGAATTTAGTCCATTGATATTTAGAGATAGTAATGAACAATGATTGCTAGTTCCTGTGATTTTGTTGTCTGCAGCAGCAGTGGCAGCGGTGGTGGTGGTGGGGTGTGTGTGTGTGTATGTGTGTGTGTGCGTTTGTGTGTATGCATGTGTGTGCGTGTTTTTCCTATCTTATATTTTCCGGGTGTGAGATTATTTCCTGCTTTTTCATGGGTGTAGTTAATCTCCTGGGGTTTGCGAGGTTTTTTATGATAATATCTTCTGTAACACTGGTTTCTGGATAAATATTGTTTAAAGTTGACTTAGTAATGCAATAGCTTGTATTTTTCATCTATAGTGACTGAAAGTTTTGGTGTCTATGCTGGTATCTATGGTCTCCTAGAGTTTTCAAAATATCTATCCCTTCTGAATCAGGACAGAAGTGTAAATACAAAAAGACAAAGAGTAAAAAGCCTCCTACAGCCATGCCATGAGGTTTCATAAAGGAAAGTTGATACAAGGTGTGTGGAGCCCGCACTCATACTTCCTCCCCTCATTGTCCTACACGTTTATGCTAAATGTTGCTTTGAGTTTGCAGCAGTGAAATGACACACCTAGTGTCTGTGGCATGTGAGCCACCCCAGGGCCCTCTCATTACACAATGGCTTGGAAACTTGCTACACAGAACTCAGAAAGAAACTAAATGTGACTCCTCCTATGTTTAGGTTAAGTTCTGGTGTGTGGTTTGAATATCATCTTCGTTTTTTTCCACAGTGGAACAACTATTAAACACAGCCATCCCTATGTCCTTTGAGTCTCCCACTAGAGTTCTTATAAGTGTTTTCAGGAAATCGCTGGTGTGCCACTGTTCTTCAGGTGCAGCTGTGACCTGTGACTGTGAACTGATATGTTTGTCTTCCTCTTTTGGATACAATTTTGTGCTATACATGTTTACATGATAAAATCTCCCAAAGAGAGTTTATTCAAGTTGATTATATGAAAACAGGAGCCTAAGTGAGTTTTCTTCTGCTTTCAACTCATGGCACATTAACAAATGTCACACATTGGTTATTATAGAGTTGATTTTGTACAACTTCGACCTAACACAAATCTCATACAGACAATGTTACCAGGTGACTAACCTGTGTCTTAAAGGCAGGAACCCATTAAATACAGAGGATCCTCTGCAGCTGTCATTACATGTGGTTGTAAGCTACTTGTGGGTGCTGGCATTAATTAACTCCTGGTCCTCTGTGAGGGTAGCCAGATTCTTCAACTACAGCTGGCCAGACCACAGACTCTTAGCACTAATGGCTTGGTTAGGTCTTTGCTTTCCTCTGAAACTTGACAAGCCAGGCCTCTATCAACTGCCCACAATACATCATGAGGTCTGAGGCAGGCATACCCTCTAATCCTGTACCAATTTCTGTCCTAGGTAAGGTTACTATTGCTATGATGATACACCATGAGGAAAAAGAGTTTGTGATGAAAAGGTTTGTTTGGCTTAGAGTTGTACATCTTAGTCTATGAACCCTTAGCAGAAACTGAATCAGAGGCCATAGAGGGGTGCTGCTTAATGTTTATGCCCTATGACTTCCTCAGTCTGCCTTCATGTTGAACCTAGAACCACCAGCCCAAGGGTGGCCTCACCCACAGTGGGTAGGGCCCTCCCATGTCAATCATTAAACTAGTAAATGCCATGTAGAGTTGCCTGCACTCCAGTGTCATGGAAGCCCCCTCCACTCATAACTCCATCGTGTGTGAAGTTGACATCTAAGTAGCCAGCATACTCTCAGAGCTGACGTGCAGTCAGTTTCAGGTTGCAGTGTCCAGACTATGTCTTCAGTGTTGATCTGGGAAAACTATCTGTGCAGTTTCTCTGCAGTGAAGCTGAGTTTTAGCCCCATGGGTCAGGACATTTCTTCTCTTACAATGCCCAGAAAGGAGGCATGACTTGTGAGTAACGGTGGAGATTCTGAGTCTGACACTCTAATGAACACTTTCAGGCTCAGTGTTGTGTCTCAGGTAGGACTAACCCTGTCTCATAGCCATAGTGCCTTCTAATTCACCCTATGAAGTATTCTCAAAAACTGGCTAGATCTGATGTTCAGTCTTTCCAAAGAAAACACTTATTTCCTTTGTAACACAATTTTTCTTTTAGATTCATTCTCACACTGAGAGCACTGTCTTGCTGATGTCACATCAGCTGTATCCTCAGTCACACCTCTCTGGTGATGATTCAAGAAAGGATTCTGTGATTCTTATAGCTAAACCTTCATGACTGTGTGACAGGATCCTCAGGTGTGAGAGTCCTGCCCTGTGACCCCAGCTGATCCTCCCACTAAACCCTGCGCAAACTCTGGATTCTCTGCCACCATCCCCCCTCTGCTTGACTCTTCTGTCCAGTCTCCCACCCTGTGACCTCCCTTGTTTTTCTCCCTCCCCTCTCAGCCTCAGCCTGCAGGCCCCTCTCACATAATCCTTCAGCTGCCTAGATGTGGGCTTTCCCTCACCCTTGCTGAAGAACAATGAACTGTACCACTGGGGAACAACCAGAAGTTGCCCCCTGCCCCCTAAAACATTTCCTCATGCTACAGAAGCTTTTTTCTCTAACCTAAGTTACCCTAAGAGGCTTTATTTTTTAGTCCTTGACTTCACTGGGCACCTCTCAAGGTTCTGCATGAGCTCTGTACCTGAGACACCTTTGTGTCCAGTAAGGGTGTGCTTTAGTGAAAACTAGTTGTGGTGTATGTTCTTCGGGTTTCCTATTAGAGTGCTGAGCTTTGCTTCTGTTGGCCTTTCTGCTTGGATGGGAGAGTGTCCTCAGACTCAGAAGCCCAGGAACCACACAGCTCTGAAGGGAGAAGATACTCTTAATGGAAAGGTATCCTGAGACAGGGGAGCTCAGGAACCACACAGCCCCGAGAGGAAGCCTCCTCAGCAGAGGCAGTGCAGCTCCCAGGGGAGGAGATTCCCCACTGAGCTGAGGAGCCTCAGTGAAGTGGAAACTAAAGGGTTCTTTGAAAAGTCGACATTGTTAGATGCTGTTTTGCTGTGGCAAACACATGAAGGAGTAGAGTGTCCAGAAGTGGACAGAGATGAAAGACTAAGACAGACTCATGAAGGAACGTTTCACTAAAACAGACACAGGAGAGAGGATGCTCTGCTATACCAAACACGTGACAGGTCACGTGATAAAAGATTCTTTACTAACAACACACATGTATGATCTGCCTTCCATTGCATAGTTGAGCTCCATTTGGTCAGCACTCTGCAGACTCACGCTGATTAGAAGCATGTCCTAAGACAAGACTCATGCTGAATCAAGACCCGTGCTGGAACAAGAAACATAGAGGAGATGTGACAGAGTGAAGGAGACAGCACTTGGCTTGCTGGGACAGATAGCTGTGCAATGCTTCGGTCTCGCAACTTCACTGATCTCTTCCCTGAGAGGCACTGCCAAGAAGTATTCCTGGTGTCCTTCCAGGTCCCTCCTGCTGACTTGAGCCAAGGCTGGGGCCTGGCTGTCTCTGCTTAGTTGTGCCACCGCTGCTGACTCCTAGACTGCTGATGTATCTGTGAAGTGTTTGTGGGTGGATCAAGCTGCTGCTGCTGCTGCTGATCTATGAGATCCAGACAACAGAGGTGTCTGCTTCCCTGTATCCTTTCTTTCTCACTACCTCTGGTAGGTGGTGGGCTACAAGAGACATTAAAAATGTTTAAGAAGCATCATTTAAAATAAAGCTTTAAAAACATTAAAGTTACATTCAGGAGCCTCAGCCCGCTCCTTCTCTTCACCCCTTGCCTTCTTTCCTTCATGGATTCTTGCTACCTTCTGACGATAGCATCACACCAGGCAGCAACTTTCATAAAAGAGATTTATTAGGAGGGTCTAGTGTATGGGGGTACAAATCCAGGAGTGGCTGCCTCTGCTCCTGGACAGAGTTATCATCCGGGTTGGACCAAGGGAAGGGCTTATGTATGGTTTCTTGGGGACAGAGATTCCTAGGTTGGAGGTATCCAGGGTGAAGATTGGTGGGATTTCAAGTTCTGAATTTGGGATGCTTAGGGATTGATGGGTTTTCATGTATGAGAATTGATGGGTTTCTGTGGGAGATTTAGGTATTCATCGATTTTCCTATTCAGAAATTGTTGGCTTTTATTCTGATTTTTCACCTAAAATGAGCATAATCTGGGTATGGTCTTGTTGAGGGGCCAGAGATGACTTTTATGACCCTTATCAAGACTGCCCTTAAGACAGTTAGTGACATCGGGGAGACATCTGACTGCTGGAGCTCCTGGGAGGGAGACATGAGCACTTTCCTGCCTTAAAGGCTTACAAAGTATACAAAGTATTACAAAGTTTAAAATGTATACAAAGCTTACAAAGAGAGTGTACCCCAGGGAAAGCCTTCCCCTCCACTGGGGTAGCAAAATAGACAACAACTTCCATGTCTTAAAGAAAGAACCCTTCTTTCAAAGGGTAAGAGACACTTTATTCTGGAGGCAAAATGACCATGGCCGGCTACCAGAGTGACCACACATTTAGGTTACACAGATTTTTATGTGGTATTTCTCTGTTTATGAACTTTTTGTATTGAAGAAACAAAGAAAGTCATAAATCAATAATCTTTCAAATAAATCTATAGAGACATCACGAAGATACATCCTATCAATTTTGGCGAATCTCAACTCTGGGCCAGATGGTATCTCATAAAATTCTTAGCTTTTGGGTTGGGTCTCTTCATGCATTTTGTGGACATATCTAATAGTCACAAAAATGCTAGGTCACAAAAAGACATAGGCAATAAATGGTTCCTAAGGGGACCAAAGATGATCCAAGAAAATACGTCTGGGGACCTGTGGCATTCCAGCTTCTCCATCACATCTCCATTGGCTTGCACAGCCAATTAGCTTTTGTGGGTACATGTCTTTCTAGGAACTCCTATTGTTCACATATTCAGGTTTCTCTGTCTTTTTGTGTCCTGGCCCAGTTGTTTGCCTGTGTATTTGATTTGCTATAACTGTTTTCCACCTACAGAGAGATGCAATGTGGTATCTTTACATGATAATGTCCCTCAAAGGGTTTAACTTAAATTGGCTGATAAGTAAGTAAGAGAATATTCAAACTTATTTCAAACTTCCTTTAATTCATAAGATACAAGCAATTCTAACACACTGGAATATTTTAAACTTTTGAAGGAAATATCAGCATTATACAAACAATGTCACTAGGTTTTGAACCTAGGTGTGGAAAAGCACATTAAGTTATGACAAGTAACACTTGATCATATTGTGCATCTAAGCCCAATTTGTAAAAGTCAACACATGAGGAGGTTTGCTGTGTTCAGGGTTTTATACATCTAGGAAAACAAAAAGTCTAAATTACACTATCAACTTAACAAAGAAAGGAAGTAGGCCCTATCCCCCAACAAACCCCCTCCCCCAAATCCTAATGTCAGTACACATTTCTGGTGTCCTTTTCTTCTCTAAAATATAGGCTGATCTCTTCTTAAATTTTATGGGCCCATGACACTATGAGAGCTCAGCATCTCCAGACAGGGCTTACTTCTTGGTAAGAAAGATTTGTAAGATAAAGTAATTTCACTCTAAAGGGTTTCTAAAGGACTTTAAAAAAGCAATAGGTTCTGTAGGTTTGAGGCTGTTAATTTAAAACTGTATGGTATAAAAATTAAAACTTGTTTAATTATATTTGTAGCTTGTCAAGATTATTGCTTGTAATTTCTTCTGAGTTTATCAAGCATTCAACTTCATAACAATGGAGTCTTGTCAAGTTAAGATTGACTTAGAATCTGTTTTGGTCCATTTCATTCATCAGAAGTGTCTAAACTTTTGATGTTGTGACACAAGGTGTCCTAATTCAGACTGAGGACCATACAATCTACTTCAAAAAATATTTTTGCAAAACTGCCTCAATATATTTTTAAGAAGTTTCAGCATTTGGTTTGGCCACATTCATAGGTGTCTTGGGGTGTGAGTTGGTCACTCATGAAATCTATGTAACAGACTAAAACCACTATTTGTTCTTCAAGTCTAGTTAACTGACTTTCTGAGTTTTCAATAGCTATGACTAGAGGCCTAAAGCAATGAAGACCAAGGGCTGTCTGACAGCCAGGATTTTCACCTTCACCTGCAGGATGGCCGTGTCCCAGCATGGAGGACAGTGGGATAGCTCTAAAAGGATATGACAGCTTCAGAGAGGATGTGGAGACCCCAGAGTTTGAGCTTTGGGTCATTTCACAGAGAAATACCCTTGTCCAGAATAGGATTAGTGGAGGAAAACTAAAGGCAAGTGTTTCCTGAAACTCTCCTACATGCCTGAAATTAACCACTAAGGAGATACAACTGCCAACAACACAAAGAAGGTGAGACCATCTACATGGTCTTAAAGACCCGCCGAAAAATATAGCTACAAATAATATAAACTTTAAAATCTGCCAGCTGCAACCAGGATTCCCATCAGGACCTGGTTCACCTGAAAGAACTGAAGTTTCTAACTCATACCACATTTTAATTAATCCTCATCTATGGCCCTGAATTATTCCCAGTTCTAAGCTCACCAACCCCTTTGATGTCTGCACAATAGACTTTTCCTCCACAGCCACCTCTCCCTAGATGAAGAGACCCTTGTGCGTCAGTAGTGGTTGAGACTGATGCTCAAGCCTGTCACTGAATACTACAAGTACAGCTCACACTCTGACCCCACATTTGCAGGACATTCTCCAGTTATTAACCAGGCTCTTCAGTTTCCCTTAAATTTGTTCCATAAGATGCGAGGCCATGGGAGATGTCAGAAGCAGCTCCTGTCAGGTTTTGCTCATCCCTCCTACTGTAGTCATGGTAAGGCCTGCCACTGTGGAATCACCTGAGGGAAGAGCTCTCTACCAGTGAAGACTCCTGGGAGCACTGTGGAGACATTTACTCATTCTTTCAGTGACAGTTCATTGTGCCTGCTCACAACCTACTTCTGGTTTAAATCTGTGGTATCTTTGGCTGGTCTCTCTTAATCCCCCAGTACGATTTCTATCTTCTAGACTAGAAGCCACTGAGATAGAGATAGCGTTGTGGCAGGGCTATCCGTCACTACCATCTACTCCAATGCCTATCTGTCAGCACTGCAGACCACGTGACCTCTGAGTGATGTCAGAGTCTGGCCTCCAACCTCATGCTACAACTGTCCTTTTCTTCTCTAAAATGTAGGCCGATCTCTTCTTAAGTTTTATGGTCCCACGACCCTGTGAGAGCTCAGCATCCCCAGACAGGGCTCTCAATACCCCATTCTCAGCAACAGAGACATTCCAAAAGGAGGCGTCTGCATCGCGTATCCATGACATGATCTGCCCATCTTTCAGGACCGCAATTCAGACTCAAAGAATCCCCCCTCGAAAATGAAATCAAACATTGTCTTTTAATAACCAGAGTCTAATGCTTAGAGTCTGACTCAGTTCCTCCTGATTCCTGACACAATTAGAAGGTGAATCTTACCCACCTCTGGAATCAGAGGTCAATGGTTGAACAATGGTTCTATAAAACTTATTATCTAAGAAGACATGACCTGTTCCCTTCTTATCTATTCAAATACAAACATTAAAATGGCCCAAAAGACTCAGGTAATATCTCATAACTAGTATTAAAACCCCATTTCCTCTCAGGAATATTGCCTCTGGAGAAGTCACTAGCTGTGTTTTGGTCCACAGTTTTTATCTTTTTCCTGTGTATATACACACGTGTGTAAGCTTGTTCATATACTCATAGTATGCAGACTACCTTTGGATGTCACGCCTCAGGACACCATGTGCACTGTGTCTTAAGCTAGTCTGTACTGAAACTCACCAATTGAACTACTCTGGCTGAGGAGGAAGCCCCAGAGATGCACTTGTCTCTCTCTGCCCCTACACTGGGATAACAAGCATGTGCCACCACAGTGTGCATGGGTTCTGAGGAGGGAACTCAGGTCCTTGTGCTTGTAACAGGTCCTGAGCTTATTACTGAGCTGTCTCGTTGTCCCTTATTCCTCACTAAAATCTTTATATCATTTTCAGTGACTGAATGTAACATGTCTATGCTTGTGCCAGGCCCCTTTGTAGTTCCTGGCATGTCAGTGTCATCTAGTCTAAGAATGTTACTATTATCTGTGGTACTCAGGGTCCTTATAGGCAATCTTTTCTTAGTCTGTTACTCATGTTTCTTACACAAGCTATCAATTTTCTTCATTTTCTTTCACACACCATAATTGATAATATACTATAATTTTATAACCATCTTATATACAAATGATGTGTGATCTGAGGTTTGCTCTCTTCTCTTCCTGCTATACTATTTATTTTTCCTCATCCACTCACCATAAGAGGCTGATGGAAGGCTCCCCTGTTCCTAACACCATGGTCAGATTTCACCCTGAAGTTTGTGAGCCAGGCACTGGGTGAATGGAGCAACCTTAGTCTCTGTTGACCAGGGTTTTGTAGGAATGCTAAATTTTCCTTCTATCACTAGACATTGCATTTTTTGAACAAAAATTGTATATTTCCATTTCTTTGCCAATGGCCTGTTTACTCACTGGATGGTTATAATATTGTGAATGAAATCTTGAGTGAGTGAGCTATGCCAGGAAAACAGCTGCTCACATGTGTGTCTTAATTTACCAGCTCCATCCAATGCATGGGCTGTGTTACCAAGTATTTCTCATTATCATTGGCTACCGGTCAACCCCTAGATCTC